CCCCCCCCACCCACACTCCCTGCCCTCCCTGCCCCCCCTTCCTGATCCCAACCCCCAGCTCGGGTCCAAATCCCTGACTGTCCAGCGCCTTGGGACGTCCTCCCGATTATTACCTCCAGAAGATGATCCGCCAATTGACTAACAAGTGGGTTCTGTGTGTTAGTCAGAGGACGGGGAGTAAGGAAATGCGCCTCGGGTTTCGCCCGTTCGGGAATCAAACCTGGGTCATAGAAACAGGAGGAGGCCATTCAGACCCCTCAAGCCTGTTCCGCCATTCTGTAAAGATCATGGCTGATTTGTACCTCAAACTCCAATTACCCGCCTTTGCCCCCCCGTATCCCTCAATGCCCTGACCTAACAAGTATCTATCCACCTCGGTCTCGAAGACGTGAATGGATCCACAGATCTTTGGGGGTGGGGAGGGAGAGAGTTCCAGATTTCCGCTAACCCTTTGGGTGAAAAACTTGTGAGGTGAGTGGGCTAACAGCCACTCTCTCCGGGACTCTACAGCCATGGAGTGAGTGGCCAGATGATGATGATGATGAGGAGGAGGAGGAGGATGAGGAGGAGGAGGAGGAGGAGGATATTGCCAGCCTAACCCGGTGATTTGTTTCCTCTTCAGGAATACCTGACCGAAGAAGACTTTCTGGACCTCTTCGGAATGACCTTGGATGAGTTTTCCAATAAGCCGGGCTGGCAAAAGAAAGCATTGAAGAAGCAAGCGGGATTGTTTTGAGGGGGTTTTGAGGTGCGGACGGATGGGGCGGGGAGTATGTTTGGGTGGTGTGCTTGTGGGGGTGTTGGGGGGGGGAAGCGGGCAATTTCTGCCCTCCGACCTCCGCTAATCTAGTCTATGAGATTATACATTCGGCCAATAGAGTGTCGTAGAAATCATGATTCTTCTTTTTTCGTTGTTCTTATCTCTGAAATTTCCATTCAGTGACGCAGATTTATAAAGGTGGTTTAACTGTATATGATGGAGTTTGAATATTATAGATTAGGGGGGGGAGAGGGGAGGGTAGAGGGGAGGGAAGGGATGAAAGGGGGGAAGGGGGGAGGGGGAAAGGCCCTGAAAGAGGGGCGTTGCTCTATCTTGAAGAGACTCCAGGAGAGAGGTTAGCATCCTGTCGATTTTACCCTCCAGAGTATGGATAGCTCCATCCCTTGTGCATTAGACTTTGGCCCCGTCACCTCCCCTTCTCGAAGACGGTTTGCCCGCCTGCCCGCTGCGCCCGCCCCCGGTTTTGTTTTTCTTTCAGAATTTAGACCGAGTTTAAGAATTCTTCCACAATCTGTCGCTCGTTTTAAAGATCCTCGGTCGTCACTCACGGGAAAGCACCTTCAGATCGCACCTGAAGACTTTTCCTCTTCGACCGCGCCTACGGTCACCTCCCTTTGCTCCCCGGCTCGGCCTCCAACTACGCCATTGTTAACCACTCCGAGACTTAACGGGTCGCTGTGTAAAGTTGCAAGTTGTTGTTGTTGTTGTTGTTGTTGGGTCTGCTCAGCCTTCAGCCGCTACTCCCCGAAACTCTGGAACTCTCTCCCTCAATCCCCTCCCTCCCCAGCTTCGAATCCCACCTGAAGGCCTTCCTTTTTGATCGTGTTTATGGTCACCTCCCCCCTCCCTCTCCCACTCGTTCGTTGTCAGACTCCGCCACTGTCAAGCGCTCTGAGACGCTAACCCACGTGAGAGGGCTCTACATAAATGCAAGTTGTTGTTGTAGACTCTCAGTTAGTTAGTTAGTTGGGTTGGAAGGATGAGATCCAATGGTACAAAGAACTTTCATCCATCTGAACCTTGACCAATCTTTTGTGGCTCTGGGTGAATAAAAGTCTAACTGGGATTGGAAGAGTAATATACCCAGAACAATATTTCCTGACAGCAGGACAAGAGTTCACAGGTTCGGAGTTGCAAAGGGGCAATTTCAGGACAGACATCAGGAACTATTTCTTTTCCCAGAGGGTAATTAATGACTGGAACGAGTCAAGGTCAACACACTCATTTAAAAAGAGCTTGGGGCTGTGATGGGATAGCGATTGGTTGGTTAGGGGATTCTGAGGTCAAATTGTCCAAAGGGTCTTCTTTGTCTGAACTTTTGAGATTTCCGCTCCCTCCTGCTTCCCGTCCCCCGCCTTTCCCATTGGCAGGAGGACCTTCAGCTTCTCTGCCCCCATCCTTTGGAACTCTATCCCACAATCCCTCTGCTTTGCATCCTCCCTTGGCTCCTTCAAGACCCGTCTCAAGACCCTCCTCTTCGACCATGTCTTCAGTCACCCTCCTACCCCTTTTGAGGGTTCTGTATCTGAGTTTCTGGGTTGGAGAAGATGAGGCTTTTAATGCAACAGTTAAGGCCCATTATACAACGAGTCCATCTTTCAACCTTTACCCCTTCTTCGTACCAATTTCATTCCACTCCAGAAGTTCATCTAACTTTCCTTCCCCTCCTCCCCCCTCTCCCTCCCATTCACAATCTCAAACCAGAGCCTTCTGGAGAGAGAATAGAGGCCAGTGGCTCCTTGTGGCTATGTAGATGATGCCATTGGCAAAGCTTAATGGGGCAAAAAAGCCTTTATCTCCTTATTGGACTCCCAACAACAATCTGTGGCTCTCTGTGTAAAATATTTCTGCCTAACCTTCCTGTCTCCCTCCCTCCCTTTGCTCCCTCTCAGTTTGGTGCTTGTTTCCTCTGCTAAGTCAGTTAGGTTAACCCTTTGCCATAGCGAACAATTTTTCCAGATCAAAATTATCTCCCCACCGCTCCCTCCCCCATCTCAAATCAGCCTTTCGGAGAGAAATGAGGACAGCCTCGTCGACACTTAATAATGGGAGGAGGGTAGGTTGGGTGAATTGGAAGGGCGAGGTCAAAGGGGCCAAAGGACCTATTTCATCCCTACCTTTGGGTCACTTGACAATCCCTGGAGCTACCTGGAGTCCTCTCCTCACTCACCCCCATTAGTCTCTTCAAAGGGCAGCAATGTCAAGGAAAAAGAGCGTCACCAGAGTTCCACCACTGATGTTGCTCTTCAAGGTTCCTGCCTGGGTATTGAGCTAGTTGTGGATTGATCAATGGGGGACAGAGAGAGCGAGAGTATTAAACTTGCTCTGGATGTTCAGCGCCTTGGGGCATCCTCGCGACGTGAAAGGCGCTATCTATAAGGACAATGTATTGTCCCTGTTGTTGTTGGGATCCTCACCGAACTCCTCACCTCCCTCTCCACTGTACTATGGCTCTACCATTTCCTGTAACAAATACTGTATTAAAATAGTTAATTTCTCAAAAGTCTTTGTCTCGGACTCTGTACCCGCGCCAAGATGTGGTTGTTGTTGCCTCGCTGATGTTGACGTTGTCCTGACCACTCCTCGTGATCGCAACTCGGGTCCAAATCCCTGACTGTCCAGCGCCTTGGGACGTCCTCCCGACGTGTAAGGCGCTGCGCAAGTGTCATAAGTTGTTGTCGGAGATGCCATCTTTTATATAAGAGTTTAGGAGTCGGCCATTTAAGCCCTATTAGATCATGGCTGATCTGCACCTCAACTCTTAACACATTTAACACATAAAGCAAGGTCCCAACGTGACCGTTTTTCTCTCTCAGGCGGACGGGCAAAGATCTTGAGACGCTTCTCTACTGGAAAAGGGAAGTGTTTGACCCGGGAGTTTCTGTGCACAAAGTGTTTACGTAAGAACGTAAGAATTGACCAAGATCCAGATCTAGTTGGGCCTTCCACCATCCTGGGGACCTGCGCTTAAAAGTCGCTTGACGTGCTGTGTCCCAAACTTTGCACGGTTATCCCCCAGATATTATTTTCCAGCAGAAATCGATCTCGTTTGTTCTTGAAACCACCCACACTGTGAGGCGAGTGCTCCAACCACTGGGCCACAGGTAATATCTAAAGAATGTTGCCTAATTCTACCTGGTCTCAGCTCTTAAGACAACATGATCTTACGGGCTAAGGCTAGGTTGAATTCCAGGGCTTGGATGACGTATTGGACGGTTTCCTCTCCTGAAAGCCCAATGTTCTGGTTAAATGCATCGCAAATCCTGCGGATGGTGCTATGGGTTCAATCGCCGACGCTTGATGACACACGGAAACCCGTCACCGTTGCTTAAGAGTCTCCAAACCCAACTGAGAATTCCCCACCTCCCAATTACACGTGGAAACCCCAGAGATAGGTTGTTGGAATGGAATACGCTCTCTCTCTCTCTCTCTCTTCCTGGACGGACGCCCACTGCTTACATGGAGTATTAGGCGCAGGTTGGCGAGAGCCAAGGCTTGTGGAGGGGGGTGTGGGTGGGGAGCCCCAGAGTGTGCGTTGGGGTAACTGCTGGAGTCTAACCAGCTAAACCCACACACAGCTCGGCCATCGAGAGCGCTGTCCGGCCAAGCTTTCCCAATGCTTGTCCAGCCTAGGACCCCCCTCCCTGTTAGAGCTTTGGCTGCGGGGTCAACAGGAGCTGAGGGGGAGGATTCCCTGCCCCCAGTGACCGGTCGGCCCTTCCAGGTCCTGCCGATGGATGAGCCAGGGCCGGGCTGGGCTGCCATCAGCCGCGAGTGCCCTGGGACACTGCGGCCCCTCTTGGCTCAGGAACTGGGACCGTCACAGATGGACTGGCTCAATACCGACAGTCCATTGCCTGGCAGGTCGCCTTGGGGCCAGTTCAGCTCCAAGAAGAACCCGATTAATTGCCCTTAGAAGAATTTCTGCAGAGATAAGGAAGGTTTAAAGACCTCACCCGCCCCCTGGTGGCTCTGCAACGTCAACAGGTGAGCCGTGAAGACTTCAAATTGTAATAATAATAATCCTTACTTTTGATATAGCGCATGTGAGCTCAAAGCCCTCTGACATATACACAGACATACATACACCCACACAGACATACACACACACAAACATACACACACACATACGTACACACACATACATACACACAGACATACATACAGAGACATACGCACACAGACAGACACACACACCCACATAGATCCACACACAGACATATATTCACACACACACAGACATCCATGCACACACCTATGGTAATAATCCCTTCATAATAATAA